GTCACAAGCTCAGGTCCGCTCTAATACAAGCCTACCCTACCGCCCAACTACGACTTATCCACACTACACGAAGGGTTCTTCTCCACAGCCGTCCGAGTAGCTCACCAATCACTTCGGCCTCTAACATCATCTACCAGTTCACTTGCAGTTGCGGTGACACTTACATAGGCAAAACTGGTTGTCGGCTGGCTCAAAGGGTGGCGGAACACTTCCCATTGTGGCTATGGCAGTTGCTGTCTAACCAAGGCGGAGCGAACCAAATAATGAACCGGAACCTTATCTCGTCTATCACCAAACATCTCATGATGACTCGTCATCAGGTGAATCCAATCAATTCATTCAAGGTGCCAGTGCGCAACAGGAACCCGACGGTGTTGGCAATTGGCGAGGTGCTACTGAGAAAGTTGAATTGTCCCCTGTTCTGTGACAAGAAGCAATTAAGGCAAACAATTAGATTGCCTTGGACCTGATTATGTCATTCCCAACAATTTTATCTGCTTATCTATGTTACTAAGTGTGGACCCTATTTATTGCGTGTTTTGTTTTGCCTATAGTGTGTAGCGACTGACGAGAGCAATCGAAATGTTGACATTTGAATTTGTCGATAAAATACGTGATTTAAACGAAGACGGAAAACATATGGTTTCAATCAATGTTTGCTCGTTGTTCACTCTCGACATCATTGGTACTCATGCGGACAAAGTAGGGTTTCGGGCAAATCATCTCAAGTCGCTAATCCGCCTGTGCACGAAAGATCTTCAATTCCAATTCAATGGAAAAATGTACCGACATGTAGACGGTGTGGCTATTGGCAGTCACTTGGTGCAGTCTTAGCTGATATTTTCGGTGGCCACAGAGAAGACCAAAATTCGTCCTTTTACACAAAATGTGCACCTGTGCAGCAGATATCTGGATACCACATGTGTTGTAGTTCATAGCACCTACCAAGCAGCAGATTTACTTGATGCTCTGAACCAATGCCACCCCTCGATCAAATTTACAATGGAAAACGAAACAGATAACATTTCTATTTTTTGGTTGTAAATCTGAAAAGAAATCCGGATGCTACACTCACTCGATCGGTGTACTGTAAGCCTACTTGGATAGGACAACATCTGAACTTTAACAGTTTCTGCCCCATCAACTGAGAAAGAGCTCTCGTACGCACTATTTTCGCAAGAGCTCGTAAGATATGCTCCGAAGAAACAATTGACAACGAGCTGCAACATGTCCCAGCGACACTACGAGAGGACAGGTATCCCGAGAGGTTCATCAAACACCACTGAAACGAAAACAATCGAGAAAAGTAAGGCCGATGTCCCTAAGAAGAAGGTACTCACCACGCTGCCATTCAAAGGGGACAAAAATGATGGGCGATTTTGACAACGTCTGCGCCAGTCCATTAAGAAATGCTATTACACGGCCGAGCTAGTCCTACTCCATCAAGTAAAAAAAGTTGTTCTGCAAATCCGACCTGGACAGGCCAGACTCTATAGTTACCACCTCCTGGAAGTGCCGGAGTTCAAGACGCTGGCGGTGTAAAGATTTGATCGTGCAACATCGGTCTGGACGCCTAGAGATATACAGCGAAATGTTCAAAATGCCGAAATTTTTAAGCCCTCACTTTTTTTCCGATTTAATGTGCGTTAAAACATATCGTAGTAACACAATTTTAGCAGAAAGCAAAGTTCAAAACGTTGTGTGCCGGTACGTCATGGCATCTGTTCTGAAATGTCACTGTGACTAATTTTTGACATTTTCAAAACTTTGTTATACTGGCATTTCAATGTATCCTGAGAGACATGCTGACTTTGATTGTAGTCGCTCCTGAGTAGTTTTCACACGTGAAATATGCAGATAAAGGAGTAGCTGGACACTAACATTTGAAGCACTGACTTTTCTCGGTATGAGCCAGACGGGAAACAAATGTCAGCAGAACGACAGTGGTTCGATCGGAGTGATGGTTAGTAAAATGTCGATGCCTTTCAATATCTTTAGCAAAGTGAGACAAAATTACGAACTATCACTTTTAATTGTTAACTCCGACATCGATGAATTCACGGAAACTGCATCCAGTGGGCACTACCAACAAGATATGGGGGTGTTCTCAAGTGATCGACTTCTTGAGTTGGAGTAGGCTGATGACACTGCCCTTATCTGTGATAGTTCACAAACTCTACAGGCAGCAATGGACAAAGTAATACTGACTGCTCATCGTTTCCGGCTATACTTGGCATCTTCGAAATACAAAGGCTTCTTAAAGATAGGCAATGACGCACATCTGCGCTGGACCTTAGTGATAGTCAGTTATAAGTTGTCCAGAAATTTAAGCATCTAGTAGCTATAGCAGCCTCTGCAATGATATAAGATGGAGTCACGAACTGTATGGTAAAAGTTAGAGACGCTTTTACCAATCTTCGTCACCTGTGGCGAAAGCCCGACCCCATTCTCGCACGCAGCCGTCCGTTCAGCCCTTCTAGTTCATCACATCGGCAGATGTAAAGAGACCAGTTACGTTTGAAAATTGATGCCTTCACAGTTTAGCTCATGTCTGATGGGAATGTTATGTGAGCGATGATTGTGTTCAGGGTCCCCTATTCGGTGCAGAGAAAGCGAGTGAACCACCCAGTCCCGTTATTTCGAACAGGGATCCGATGGTTGAGTGATGCATCACGCATGCAAGTACACTGACTCCCCCGACATGCGTCGTTTGCGGGGCTGGGATCTAGATGGAAAAAGTGGGGGCCAAGCGATGACTTGGTCAAGAGGAATGAATACCCTCACTTCGAAATTCATCTAGGTTAGTGCCTTCCGAATGCCGGGCTAGGGGCCAAAGGACGAAGAAGACATTTGATTGGAGGCGCCAGCTGATCCGGGCAAGAGCCGACCGCAGTGGGACCCGGGTTGAGTTTCTTCGTCCCCCTTCGTTTAGCCTTCGCAGACTCTCAATGTGCAATATGAAACAAAGCATATGATCGGAGGGCCATTTTTGAAGTACGTGTTGTGTGGATGGAGTGCGACACGCAATCTCAAAGTGGACCGCGATTCCGATTGTAGTGAATCTTGGTCATTCGATCACTAGGACCGTAGTTGATGAAACAAAAGGAAATTAAGTGTTGCCCGCCCGAAAACACTGCACTGCATGACGCGTTTCGATATTACTTCATCTCATCAGATAGAAAGATAGTGCGCATATTATTACTTGTTCTTGTTTGTATTCTGTGGTATTTACTAACTTGCTTTTTCTCATGTTAACTATTTGTATTGCAGCACAATAGATAACGTGCAGAATGAGGTGCTTTGCCCCCGGGTAACCGCGAGTGATCATAGATGGGCTAGGGTGATGCCGGAGTGGCAGGACTCATGAGTGAGAGAGAGGCGGATAAGATAAACGGAAAACCAGACGCCTGAACACTACACTCCGGATCCCTTTGGTATGTTTACAAGTTGGTCATCTACCACCTATGTTAGTTTATTGGGAAGATTAGTAGAGGAACGTGAGAGAAAAACGAGTTCCGATAGTGAAAGGAGCCCGAACTACGGCTAGATGAACGACAACCCAAATATCACGGTTCCGATATAGTGTTTTGATCAAGGCTAACAACGGATACCGGCTACATATAACAACAGAAAGACCTACAATCCAACTCCTCTCGGTGTGGCTAAAACGAGTAATCTGGAGGTTCACTGAACCAAATGCTAACAACAAACAGTGGTCTCAATTTCGGTAAGGAGAAAAGCCACCTGATGGAACGTGAGTTCACAAACCCAACTGAACAAACCATGGGCGGCTACAGTTGCGTTTCACGTATCGCTACCTCAATGCAGCGGAGATATTTCCCGGGGCCCACAAAGTGCCAACAAAGAAAATCTTAAATGTAACTACAAACGGCCCAAGCAGAGATCCGATTAAAGCGATATGATTACCACAGGGCAAGGTAAAACGTTCCGGTGAATTTTTCAGTTGGGTGGAGGGCGCGAAGAAGTCTTAACTGAAAGAAATCGTGAAAGATGCATATTGGGTAACGGTGCTGCGTTGGTTAAAATGCCTTGCACCTACATAGACCATCGCACAATTCAGGGCTCTTGAAAAGAACAGTCACTTCATTGCGGTAACATTTCTCAGCTATAAAGGGAGTTAGGTTGAAAATAAAAACAGTGGAACTGTTGATTTCAGACGAATGTGAGCCAGGTGGAGTCTGGGCTCTAGAACGACATTCAAATTCTCGGGTTACCACAAACAAAAGCCGGTCAAAAAGGACGCAGGGAGCATATCTGTTGATGGCGTGGAAAATCAACAAAGCGGAAATTTGTGGGTTTTTAACAGAACATACCCGAAAGATAAAGAGCAAGGAGATAAGAGTGCGTGCGCGCGCACAGGTGTCGGTGCAACACCGGGGAGAGCGAGCGATGTGGTAGGTATCAGGAGGCAGTTTATTCGGATGCGTGCAACTGCTGCCCCGCGATGAATGCCGGCAAAGACAGCAGTAGCAGAAGCTCTTACGCAGGTGGTCGGTCAACGCGCACAGTTCGACAATCGAATTGACAGTCCGGAGGTGGCCATACACAGAACACGCGCGCAAGAGAAACTCACCCTCCGCCATCTGTCACCCGTCAGACGCATAGGTGCACAAGCTGGCATGTCGGCCAACTTTGTGTTGCGTTCGGGGCACAGCTGGTGTGACTGTTGACTTGTGCCGTCGTGTGGGCAGTCTAAAATCAAAGAGGGTGCATATGTGTTTTTCACTGCTTTGACCACCAATACAGCAGCTTTGACCCGCTGGTGCCACTGTTGTTACAACTGCTGTTGGGTGGTCGAGTAATGACAGACGCCGTCAGCGTAGCCCGTACGCGGTAGCGCGCGCGCGCGGAGGCACATCAACTAAAGCATCAGTATCCGCGTTGAAAGTGGCGAAGTAGCAGGAACAGGAATGAGTTGGGATGGGCTAGGTTCGGGGATATGGCCTAACAACAGTGCGTTTCAGAGAAGCAAAGCTTACCTGCAGACAAAACTGCTGCATCAGAGGAACGGGTATATAGGAGGCCGAGAAAAAAGCGCCTGCAATTGCAATGGCACCGAACAAAAGACTGGGTCCATGTTCCGCCAAGACGGGAAATGGTGAATAGGAGACAAGGGACGATTCCGAAGTGAAGGAAGAGGAGCATGTAGACACGGAGGCTACAGAGGCCCACGGTGTCTGAAGGAAAGGGGAAAATGCAGCTTTATTGAATTTGAAGTAATTTTCGCTATCTAATGGAGCGGTAGACTGAACGGTTCCAAGACTCACACTGAGTAACGAGGGTCTGTTGCAATGTCTGTTGTTTGATAGCATGGTGCGACGAGCCATACGGCACTGATAACAAGTGGTTAGTGTGAAGACGCTGTCAACGCTCAAACCCATGACAAGGAAAGGTAGAACCTGCAAGAGAATTAGCGTGGAAAGGGAGGAAGGAGTTCAAATTGAGCAGTGAGCAACAAAAACACGTGAAGCGGCACGTCAAACTAAAAGGTAGTGCTTCTGATTTATAGCAACATGACGAGCAAAATCGTACTACCGCTATGCGGTTACACAGTATAGAGTACAAGAATTAGTTATCGTAACACGTTTGGACAAGCACGGAGTATGAACAAACGATAATAGCAACCTAAAGATCTGTGGGTCCACAACAGTGGAGTTAATACACTATGCCCATTGCGGTTTGTTTGTGGGTTTAGTCGGTGGCGGAAGTTCTAGTGTTAGAGAGGTTCTGTGGCAAGCGAAGTGTGATGAAGCTGTGACGTGCCAACGATGATGCTGGTGGTGTCGAAAGACGCGTACGCGCACTGAGAGGTTCGTTTCGATTTCGGTCACAGGTAAAAATAGAGCGGGTAAGTGTTCTCGAGAAACAACTGACCCAGTGTGGCCGGAAAACGCAGTACCGGTGGTGCAAATAGGTCCAACATACGTGGAGCAGATAGAAAATGGAGTTGTGAATATACAGCTGGATTTGGAGAATATCGCGTAAGCGACTGCTGCGCGCGTTGACTAAGAATACTGAAAACACAATAACGCTAAGGAAATGGGTTGGTACTGACCTGGATGGTAAAAACGTTGAAAGGCAGGCCCACGGCAGCGCAGATACCCAGTCCAGCTATGGAGGCGAATGCAGCGACAACAAAGCCGGATAGAACGAGCCAGCACTGGGATTGCACCGGATCGCGCCAATCGAGGAGACAGATCAGGCCGTAGAGAAACTGGATACATGCAATGAAACCAGGTGCGAAAATAAAACGGAACGGCTAACATAGTCTACCGCAGAGGAAGACAAATAACTGACCAGAAAACAGCAGAAAAGCAGTCGTGTGATTGTAGGAAGAATAGTTCATCCACAGAGAAGACCCAAGCGGCCCAGCTAGGTACAACGACAGGAAAATACCAATTGCGTTGCATTCGTAGAATCAATATATGTTAGATGAGATGTGTAGACGCAAATGCACACCTCAGGGCGAGGTGAATGGTCGTCTTAACCCGGAAAGCCCCTATATGGTTGGGGGTTACAAAAGCGGCCGAACTGCTTAAAGTGAGTGTCCTTACTAAAGTAGGATAAGATGGAGAGGTACATGATCCCATGGCACGAAAGCAATAGTGTGTAGGAAAACCGGTGATAAGTAACCACGCAAAGATGGCTGAAGTTGCTTTAGTGGAAGTCTAGGTGAAATATTCCAGCCTCAATAACTAGTAGTAATGTCGCTACGGTGCACCAAAGTGGTTTACTACAGAAAATAGAAACAGGCATACAGTGAGTTATTACACAAGAATGATAAGTGGTAGCTGTCGGCCACTAGGTAAACATCACCAAATATGCGGTGAACTGGATACGCAGAGGCTCTTATAACATGAGAAAGCGGCTAGTGCTCAAACGAAACAACCCGAAAGAATGTTGAAGCCAAACTTGAAGTAATAAGGATCACCACCGAGTCAAATGGATGGTCAGAAGTCATTTAGCACAGTGTAGCTTTATGAGATTATCTATAATGAGGTTAGAGGGTTCCATCACAATGCGGTCCGGTTTTACAGACACGTATGAACACGGGTGTTGAGAAACTTGTTCAACGTGAGAACAGACACTCTCCAACTAGGTAGGCAGCCCAATTTAAATAGAACTGCATAAGTGAGTGGGGGAGCAAGGGGAAGTTGTGACTGGATATGAATAGGGGGTTAGTGCTTTTCAGCATCCCACTGCAGTCTATGAATAGATCATTACTGGTAATTCATGCCAGCGTTCAAGATGATGACCAGCCAGTTGAAAACCGGTAGGCCTAAAACTCGCCTCAGGTGTTAACTAGCTTAGTCTCGAATTTATTTGCCCTTGAGGGGAAGAGGACATGAAAGAAATATTCGATCACTGAATTCGTTTTGAAAGCGGAGAGGAAACGGTGCCGGAAGTACAGTTATGGGAAGCTGTACGGTTAGCCTGGGAACTAAGTGAGATGGTGAGTGATAAGGTCACTAAGTCCAGCAAACGCTATGGTTTAGGGAAACTAATCTAAACCAACGGAAAAAGTTGAGAGATTCTGTACTTACCACTAGAAGCACACATCCAATGAATTTGATAGGACCAAATCGCAGAGTCAGTCCCCGTAAAATATCGCGCAGCGAGTTATCCGTAAAGGCATAAAAGCACCATTCAGAGTTGGGCGGAAGTCCAGCGTTATGTTCCACTACAAGCTTTAATAAGAAAGATGAATACCGATCAGGTTAACCGTTACAGCTTGCAAGTGGATGCAGATAGATCAGTTGAGACAGTGGGAATAACGGTCATCGGTAGGGAATAGCCTAAAAACAGGTCTATTCGTAGGTGGATGGACAGACGATTGTAATCGAGTGAGCAAATACTGAATACGACACACTGCACGTTAAATGCTGATCTCTGTGAGCTACAGACGAGGTCTGTTAGGAGCGTAGAAAACCTTATCACTAGAGCGAGCTAGTGATAGAGAGAAAAAAACAGAACATTGCGAATGTGATTGCCATATGAAAAAGGCAACCGGTGGTTTGGATGAAGCAAAGCAAACGCGAGGAGCAGTATTTGTTTTTGGCCAGAGGCAAGAAATAGGGTGGAGTGGAGGTAAAACAGCTTGTTTGTTTAGCGAGTGGGATAGGTGCACAGGTGAGGTACATGCAACTTTACACCAATTTAAATCCGAGGATTAGAAAATACGGAAAGTTGATACGAGTAGGTTAGCTAGTACGAAGCAAGTGTTTCATCGCCAACGCATGTTAGACACAATGCCATGAAGGTGACGCACTCAAGTGCACATCGAAGGGTGCCGAGTGAGTGAAAGAACCAGACAGACAGAGAGAAATAGGAGACAGCGTCGAGTATTGGAAGAAAAACGAGCTTTACTGTGGCACACCTGTAGTACTAGGTTATACTAGACAGCTGTCGGTGAACATAGGCCTATTAGTTAGAGGACGAGCACCTCATTATTACGGTAAGGGAACAGAGAGGGCAGGACTAACTGGAACGAGGTGCAAGGAGACAAAGTTACCTGCCGTAGATTACGACGCCATTCATCTAAAACGTGTTGAGCGTCTGCCAAGGTCCACCTTTCGTGTCTGTAAGGGTCACTGTGTCGAACTGCATCGTACAAATCACGCGGCGAGCGTAGCATAATAAGCGACTGAAGAGCACTTCCGCTGATTAGTACAGGTGCAGAGGTGTTGGGCCGTGAGTTGGATGTGGATGAAGAGGACATTTGTGCATCAGAGCTGTCTAGTGATGCATGCACACGACCACCGACAATCAGCTCTTCCGGCCAATGTAGTAAATTTGCGGCAAACCCGGGGCAACCTCCGCTGAGGATTTGTGGTACGTTTGGAGGCTGAAACAGGGCAGGAAAATTACGCACCGAGTGAGAGGAACAAGACAACCAGGTTCAGTCAAAAATCCCAAAAACCTAGAGAAACAACGGGGGAAACATCATGTTGACAGGAAAAGGAAAGAAATAAACTTCAAGTTAACCAGCGATAACCGCTTACTTCCTGTGGGAATGATAAGTATTCCAACCAGCAGTTGCGAGCCGTGGGGAGTGCAATACACGCAAGTTCTCGTGAACAAGAAGTCGAGGCAATTGGTGAGTTGCGTGACGTCCCGGCTTAGTGTGGCATGTGGGCCAATCGCATGACCAACTTAGGTTGGTTAACACATCGAGGTGTGTTGGATCTAGTTGCGACGACTTGCCTCGACGGAATAATAACAAGTAACAATACTGGGGGAAATAAGATAAGGGCTAAGAGTGTAGGCGACCGAACGAAGGAGAGCCAATGGTTCCGCGGCCATGTCAAGCAGGGCAAAGTCTCAGGCAACTGAAATGGCTTTTCCGTGGCCCTCATACTTATGGACGGCATGAGCTAGTCCAGTCAAGCCACGTCATCAAATGGCATCTTGGAGTCTTCGCCCATCTACGTGAACTAACATCACATAATGCATGGGTGAGGAAGGTGACCAATGGGTAAACGAGAGATAAGAGGTAGCTAAGGTAAGCGGCACGAGATTAACAAACAACCCAGTTTACACTAAAGAGTACGTTTCCAAACACCGACCGTTGAATTACGGTAGTGTCAAATCGATGCTCCAATCAGGTGTGAGCAGAGTTTCGGAAGCACCAATGACCATCGATGACCAGCCTGTTGACGTTTTCAGCGCGAAGCGGCCATGTTGCAGAGTCACACAGTGAGGCTGAGCGTAACGAAGCGCGTACACATCAGCCGTGATTGACAGGTACTTAGGTCGCCGCCACGGCCCCCAAAATAGCATCGAAGGAATATGGGAATAGAACGGAGTGTAACAGGCACACCCTTCAACGACAGGTACTATCACAAACTGGTACGTTCAACCAAGTCGAAGGTTTTCGAGTCAAAATAAGGCCACCACGGTGGATATGGTGAATACGTGTCGTTGTTCCGAAGAAAACAATGGAGAGAAGGAATTGTGCACTGAACACGACATCGCGCACCGCAAAGACAGTGCAAGGGATATCGTTCGGTAATAACTAACGTGCATTGTTAAGGTAAATCTCAGTATTCATGTGATGTTTATCAAAACTGAATCTACTACAAGAGGCTCAAGTCAGAATGAACACACAAAAGTTTGGGTAGTAGGGAAAACCAAACCCGATCGACCTAGGAAGCGACAAAGTTGCTGATGATTGCGTCAAAGTAGGTCATTAGAGATAGCGCACATAGTCTCAAGTTCGGAAGAAAAATATCGTTTCAGAAGATTGGTAAAACACAAATCGGTTGTTTAACAGCTTGTATTACGGCTACGTTTCGCCCTTCACACAAGAGTTTCATTAGGCCAGGTCACTACACAAGCATTCCTCTAAGGGTCCCATCGGCGGGGTATTGGCATGAGTAGCCAGTGCTACCTTGAGTGTGATATACAGTGGTTCAGGGGAAATTAAGAGGCGACATCATCTTTAACGCTAAAAAGATGAAGAGCACGCGGTATGCCCAAACACTAGTAAACGCAGTTCACTTTAATAATTAACTGCATAAACACTAGTGACGAATGATTGCAAACAATGTGACACAGTAAGTTGGAGACCGATGACAAGTAACCCCCTAGGTAAGGAGTCCGCATAATTACATGCATAATGGTGCATCGTCTGCACATGGTGTAAAGACAGGGAGCTGGCTATACGGCACTGCTAGGGTGCTCAAGGCAAAACCACGCAGCAAGAGTGGGTGTGTGTGTGCGCGAATGAACACAGGTAACGTGGAGGCCGTAGTGACGGGGATTCATTCGTAGCCGGAAACCGCGAATGATCATGATCTTAACTGACAGGTACCGATGCGCACACACCCGGCTTCAGGATAGAGAGATGTGTGGGGCTAATTGATAGGCGGCAAGCCGTCGTATTTGCAACACGTTTACGCACAAACGGCCCCGATGGACAATACGGACGTTCATCAAACTGTTCGCAGTGGACTTCCAATGACCCAGTCAGATGACAGAAGAAATCGATACCTGGGATGAGACAAAGTAAACAGATGTCATTGCTGCCTGGTGTATTCGCCTCCAAAATTTCAGTATGTGTACACTGTACCAACCAAGTAGGCGACTCAGAAGGAAACAACCATTTTAAGGCGGACAAGTGACGTGAATATGAAGTGACACATGTCTGTGATGAACTTCAGTGTTCTAGCGAGAAAGCCGTAGTCAGCCAACAACTGCAAAGAGATCTAATGGATGAAATTAAGAGCGAGTGAACACAGGAACTAATTATTAGGCGTAGGTTTGTCCATACGAGAACAACCACCGAAAAACTGCTTTTGTTGTATATCATGGAGGCACGAATACAGGGGGGATCTCTTAGGAGCGAAGCCGAGGTAACCAGTGTCAAAGTTGCGGCTTTAATGATTATGGGGGTGGGGAAAATCTGTGGCAAATCAAATTCTGCAGACCTAGACAGCTCGCGTGACAAGTCTATTGCAGGGGAAATGACCATAAAAATGGGGCAAGTGGTGTGCCGCCCACTCTTTGTGGCAAACCCATCTGGGGGAATGATATCATGGTTGGATATTAGCGGGGCAAGTTTGTTACAAAATGGAAGAAAGCGCAGGTCATTTAAGCCAGATACCACCTATGAATGGGTTTCAGATACAATTTATTTATTGTTAAAGTCTGACTACACCCTAGTTAGTTGTAAATTACAGGATGAAATCGACTGATATCCTTCCGCGGCCAAAATGCATCAGTCTCTAATACTTTGGAGTCATTTGCTGGTGCTTGGCCTAATCGAAATTCCAAAGGATGCGTAAAGGCTAAGACCCACCAAACTGCATGAACCGAAGCAATTAAACGGTGGAGTTTTATTTGCTAATATCTTGGAACCACATGTAACAGGCCACTGCATCCAGTAGAAATTAAATACCAGGAAAAACAAGTGGTGCAAAGTCACACGTAGGCAGTGCAAGATGTGTTTCAAACGTGATGACTAGCACAAGTGCGGTTTGTTGAAGGTAGCATATGAACTTAGAGAATGGAAATCAACCGCTCCCAACATTGGACTTCACGATCGGTTTCGTTCTGAACTGGGGGGACTCGAATCCTAGGGCGGAGAATTTGAAAGCATAGTAGGGCAATGGAGAAAAGGGAGATAGCGCGACAATAGATGAGACTCACTTGACTACGATGATTTGGAGCAGAGGATGGGCAGGCCGGATCGTTCGGATCGAGACAAGTCCGATTCAAATACCCATGGTTGATGCCCGCTGCGCGAAATAAGTCAATCAGTTTGGTGACTTCTGCATGTGAATAATTGCCGTATTGAGTGCGTAGATTTTCAAGCAAACCCACTGGGTCAATGTTGGTCCACTGAATCAACGTCCGTTCGTTGAACCTAAAATGCAGGGGAATGAAACGAACACCTCCGGAAAGTCTAACGGACAAGTTTTCACAAGCAAAAATTGTGGCAGTTGTAGAGGAAAAACATCTATACGATGGTACGCCACGTAACAAATGGGGGTGTCTGGAAAAAAAACTAGAATAAATTCGTAAATAACAGGGAACATGAAACGGATGCTAATACAGTCCAATCTGCCATGGTGACCACCTGTATACGGCAACAAACTGTCTATGGCGACCAACCGTAAACATCCCCAAACTTCTCATATGAGTAATGTTCCTATGCATGAACCTGGCTATGGCGACCACCTGTCCAAGGCGACCACTTTTTGTCGGTCCCTTGAGTGGTCGCCATAGACAGGTTTGACTGTATCATGAACTAGGCGAGAGGCACAACGTGCGGAAAGGTGTTGCCTACGGTAGGTGCACATAATTCAAGGGGAGACAGACTCTGGCTTCAATAAAATTCACCATATGCATGACGGAGACTGTGAAGTCACCATAAACCCAGTTCCGGAAACAGAATAATCTAGAGTGGAACAACTCGACGCAGACCAAAACCCATAATTCGTCCAAAAAGAGTGGAAACAAGAAAATCGACAGTCAGTTGAATAACCCACGAGCCAAAACGGATTCGGATGTCACTACTTATGTTGTCATGGTAACAAAAACCAAAGATGAGAAAAATAGAGAAGAGAAAATAAACAGATGCACAAAAATCCAACGGAAGGATTGATAACTAAGAGACAGGAAGTGAATATAAGATGTCCGTTTACCTCACAAACACATCATTTCATATAAGGTTTCCAATCAGGACTGCGGTTACGAGAGTAATAAGCAAATCCTATATGCTTAAAAGAATACATTTTATTCTGTGCAATTTATGTTCAGAAGTATCATGTCTTCGGGATAAGTTGTGGGATGTTTACAGGGGGGACGGATGAGCTGAACTGTCGCGTCGTTAAGTCAGATGATTAAAAAAACCGAGTGCACAGAAAGAGCAGAAAACATAAGCAGAGATGAAGAATCGAGAAAACCCATATGTTAACCGCCGGGGAGTGGTTTGTAAGTTCAATGCATCAGTGCTTTCAGTGAAGAACATTATATGTGTAACCATTCGAAGCAGGTGATCGAAAGGATTACGCACTTGCATTGTGATCTGGATGCCACCGGTTCGAATCCGCGTAGGTGCGGGCGACTGCGCGTTATAGTCAGCCTACGCGCGACTGGTGGTGGTTGCGTCGGCACACCGTGCCGACGTACTGAAGACGCCCCTCCATACATCTTAATTCGGAGCATACAAGCTGGACACAGGTGAATGGTACAATTCACCTCTCGGAGCCTTACATTGAACGGACCACATAGAGGTAATTTGGTGAGGAACGCAGATGTGTATGGGAAGTGTTAGATATGGGAGTGGATAAGCGAAAACCACCGTCAATATGCGGCATCACCGAAAGGGGTTAACCACCACTGCGTAAAGGAGAAGCAACTGAGTGCACTCCACTTGGGGATGAGATGATGTCGGATACACGAAAAGATAGAGTAAATAGTTCTTGCTATCCGAAGAATGGAAAGAAAAGGTCCCATCCGAGAAATAACTCAGACTACAAAGCAGGTGCTCAGACAAAGAGGCTCGTGCTGATACGCGCTAGAGAGAAGAGGTAGTCGAATTTATAAGCTAGCCACCTAGTTACACTGGAAGCGTTTGAAGCGCGAGCAACACACTGAAAGTATCAGCTGCACGATCCACTTAATCGATGCTTATAGTGCGGTTTACGGTGAGAAGATATGGGAAAAGAAATTGGTAAAACACTGGTTCGGTGATGCGAATTGTACGGTGAAACAAGGGTGGGAGTGATGGGCTAACAAAAGCGTGATGAAGTGATCTAGGCTTTTCGATTGGAACAGCGGACTACCATATTATCGCCACATGAAACAATTTTACTCTAACCGACATGCTTGATAAGCAAAGTGTGTCAAATGAGTGCCGTTTCCATGTGTACCGATGAACGAATTACATGGAGTCGGTGTACTTCAAATCCTGTCGGTGTCTGAGCGAAGGTTGAGAGCATAGGGCGAGTTGAACGAGAGACGCCGATAACAGCGCGCTATGAGTTCGGATGAATCGCAAAGCGGAACAAGCCAATACGAAAAAAAACAATTGCCACTGTCAGACATTCACGTGCTTATTGCATGAAACAAAAATCTTATGTTCACCGTCACCTAGTTTATCCATATGATAGTTGCCGTTACACAGAGAAGCTGCGATAGATGGTGCATTGTCCAGGGGACAGCCAAACAGGAATGGATTGGTATGGTACTTGCGCATATCAGATCGGCGGGTGCACATGTACAGATCCGAATGGGCATCGTTGAATCATGCGCTTTCCCCACCCCGTAGCACAAAACTCGGTGTGGCCACGATAACAGCCTGACTACGGCAATCAGGGTGGTCGGAAGTAAAACACCACGACACAAGGGGGGGAATGGTAATGAGAGCAGCACCCAGAAGGACACATGCACCCAAACCGTCGGGACCACCAAACAAGCGAGGGAGAGACGAACTGCACGAAAAAATGCGGATGAAGAATGCATCTGGTTCGAGTGATACAAATGATGTGCGCGCACGCGCTATCAATCTGCGGAATAGCCCGCTGGGTGGGCCAGATGATGAGGTTGGCCCAGATGTCAACCAGTGGACGCGTGCGCGGTCTAAGAGACTGCGAAAGAAACAGAAAAACCTGGTCTGAAAACATCAGCTTATGCAGCTGTGAATATCGCTTCACTAGCCGGACGGAGAGAACCTTGCTGAGGTTGGGAATATTGAGGTGTGTAAATATGAACGGTGCCCTTCACATAGCAGTATCGCCAGAATATGTGCCGGAGGCAGCAAATAACCGTGGGTTGAAATAATATTTTTAGAGTGGTACGAAAAGATGACAATCAGTAATAGTTTATGTGCACCAAATCGTAATGAATTCAATTACAGCAGTACAGATGCTGCATGGTAAGCGTCATGTAGAGCGATCTAGTGAACTGTAAAGGAGAGCAAAGGACCAAAATGTATAGTGAGCATCAGCGGAGTGGTGAGTGAAGGCAGTTACAATTGTATTCCCTGGATATAGAAAGTGGAATAAAGAGATTTAAAAGCCCCAAGCGAGTGTGGTAGAAGAACGCGAGAACATATAAGAACGAGACGCATTGCTAAAACTGAGTTTACGTCATCTAATAGACTTCCCTTCGAAATAGCTAGTTATCGTACAAGAGGGGGTCAAAATTTGACAGTAAAAAGGAAACGTGAGATTGCGTTACCGCAAGGTAGAGGCTGAGACGATGTCAAAAACTACATCTACTTACCAGGGAACCCACATAGTTTCCTCAGGTCCCAGTACCTTGGCGCCCTCCCAGAAACAATCCAAGGGCGTGATAACCATACAGGGGATGAGCATGTCCAGATAAGCCTTGGAAAACAAAAGTTGAACAGAAAATACTTAGCTATGGGTTGGGATGTTTCAGCTACAGTATTCGGAGCGATTGATAGCGGACGAATGCACATAAAACGCTTTAAAGACCGGCTATTTGGCGCCAATTAAGTTGGTAGACAAGGCGAAGCTCTTGTGTCAAAAGCGAAACGTTGCCCAATACATACGCTAGATGAATATTTCCGAACCTCTCCGAACTCGGAATAAAGTAGCATATTATCAGAATATTACTTCTTGGGTTCGACAAAAAGTGAAGAAAGTACAAAATACCCAAAGCTTCAGCGAAAAATGTTTTTGCCAGCAACTTAAAGGCGAAGTAGGATGCTTTGAGCCCTGCTGAGATGATGGTAAAGCGCACTGCGACGAGTAAAGATCAAGAAACTAACGAAAAATGAAGTGAAGTGCACTCGGCAGATGAACGAGGTAAGCGGGACGATGTGATTAGGAAGAGGAAGATGAATAACTAATATACATGAAGGTGCATATATCCCAAAGAAATGTGTGATACTACCGCCTCAAGAGTACAGTGATATTGAGATATTTCTCACACATGAAGTAGCAATACATAAAGTTAGCAACAAGTCACGCTGTAAGATGAAAACTATAAAAAATGGACAGGTTCAGTACAATGCAGTTGGGGCACAACAGTTAGAAGTTGTCAAACCTGCTTTATCGGTTCCAACCATGTTTCAAGCTTTCCGTGACAAAATAGAGGTAAGTCTGGAAAAACAACAGACATCAACTGCAGATGTGACAATCGAGTGAAGTTACTGCTATGGTGAAACCCAGTGACGTGCACTGAGCTGCCCTGGAAACTAAATGCCGAAATTTATGACTCAATTCAGACCCGCTATACAAAAAAATGAGGAGAATGATCGACTGTAACGAGCAAAAACGCAGAAAAACAAAACGTAAGGAAAAGTTTATGCCGAGCAGAGCGGTATCATTTCGGCCAATAACGTATGTCCAAATAGAAGACTATATGGTAAAATGCATCGCTAACCCCACATATAAGTCGTTTCTTATCAATAAAATCAGTCAGCGCAAGTGCCCGACAGATGGACGCTGAGTAACTGATTTGTAGGTTTATGGCCGTCCCAATGAGACAAATTTCGGACACGAATCGGTCGCTCAAAAACATCTCGAGCATAGTCTTACATGCGTAGTCTGCCCTATGATCTTTCGAGAATTGCCTTGCATTAAACGAGAGCCGTGTTTGTGACCATGAAAAATGCATCCTTAGCATGAGTTAAGGCTACGCTGGAAGCTTTTTTGAGCGAGCAAAATCTGTCCGAAATGAGTCTCGCCGCGACACTAAAGGCACACAAGTCTGTCAACCAGCAGCAGAAAACCGGTCATTCGTACTGAGTGAAGTGATACAAAGTGTTTTACCCACTAGATGTACAAGTTAGTTCTTGAAAACACTAAAGCGAATGTAAGAGCATTATTGCCTTATCGATCGGAACACACTTTGGCGGATGTGGCCCGTGCAGAGGTTCCCAATCGGAAAAACGCTCCGACCATGTAATGTTGTAGAGTCGAGAGATTACCGGTTTGGATCCGCTTAGACA